AGAAAAATAGAAGAGAAAAACAAATGGAATCGATGAAAAGGACAGGCCATAAAAATGTGTTTCACGTACTATTTGTGGTCAATTCTATGTTATTCTTTTTTTACTATAAAATATTTCCACATTTTAACATTTGTCGAAAATACATCATCATGGTCAAGGACGTTTCTAAGCACATGCTCTTGGAAGAGAGAGAGAGAGAGAGAGAGAGAGAGAGAGAGAGAGAGAGAGAGAGAGAGAGAGAAATTCCATTCCAAATTGGATAGTCTAATTCTTTTCGTGATAACAAAAGAAAAATTTCAGATGTTTGTGTTTGTTTTTTGTGTCGTCTAGAATATTTGAGATAATTCTAGAATTATATAATTTTTTTATTATTATATATCATATAACACCGCGGAAATGATGATATCATATAGAATTTTGTTTGAAGACATAATTAGATTACAATCACTGACAAAAAAACTAATATATGATCTGTTGATCGATAATATATATAATGATAATAAATACATGATTCTTTGAAAAACAAAAGTTAAAAAATCGGTTCTTACCATTAATGTCGTTAATAAGCAGGTAGAATCCGACGGTGAAGACTTAACGATGCTAAATTCATTCAATGGTGACATTAATGATAATGACTAATTCAAATATATCTTTTTTAGCATTTTAATAAAATTTTACTTATTTTTAAAATTTATATATTTTCTGCTATTTTTGGAATAATTGATACTCCCTCCGTTTCAAAATATTTGTAGTTTTAGTTTATTTTTCATGTTTCAAAATATTTGTCATTCTATATTTCCAAGATAGTTTTTTACAATAGTTTCCAATTTTATCCCTCCCAAATTCCAATAAATTATTAGTGATAACATTATTTTTATCATTAAATAAGGTTATATGTGTCTTTTTTTCTATTTTTTTAAAAAATGTGAAAAATCCTAAAACTACAATTAATCTGAAACGGAGGGAGTATATCAAATTTTTCTCGAAAATAAGATATGGCGTGATCCAATAATATTTCATCGGAAAAAAAAATTGGTTGGGCCACCGGGGTCCGGTAATACCTACGGTAGACAAAAGTTCAGTGGAAAGCAATTTTCTGATAATGGGCCATATATTAATGTGGCCCATATTAAGGCCCATTAAACTCTAAATGGGCTTTTATCACAACGCGAGTTAAAGCGCATACGTGATATTCCGAATATCAAATTCGGGGGTAAATTTCATGGCGTGTCCGTGTTTCCATGATTTTGAAAAAAATAATATTTGATCAATAACAATAAAATTGAAATTGAATTGAATATCAAAGTATAATGTTTTTTTATCCGAAAATAAAATCAGAAATAATAATCGAGACGACCACTTGGTACTGTTGACCTTGTCGGAACGATGTCGTATCGTACCGATGGTAATCTGACGTCCACGTGGACTTTTTTTTTGTATCCTTATTATATTGCAAGCATGCATGTAAAGGTACGTGGATGGCACGCGATACTCATAAATTTTGGATCGTTTTCTAACAATACGTGGATGCTCCAAACGTCACTACTTTACTAAAAAAAAATCGATCCATTTTCATAAAATGTTAATTAATATTCTCTAAGAATTTCGTTACTTTAACAAAAAATTTAATAAAACGTAAATATGTTAATTCGTCGACATGGGGGATTTTGGAATACTAGAAAACGTGGTTATGAGATAATTAAGCATATATAGTCGGGTAATGACGTTGGTTTTAAACACGAAAAATACCTAGTTAAATAAAGTAAAAATGACATTTTCCTATACGGATTATTTAAAATGTGACTTTTTCCTACACAAACTTTTAATTTGATAAAAAACTACACCAAATTACCAAATGTGCCAAATTGATACACAAACTACCTAATTTAACTGCAATTTCCTACACAATCCGAAAACGGTGTTAAATGTCCATTAACCGATGACGTGACATGCCACGTGGCGTCCGACATGGCACGCCACATGGGAAATTTTGCCATGTCAGTATGTCACGTCGGATTTTAAAAAAATATATAAAAAAATCCAAAAAATTAAAAAAAAACAAAAAAAAACAGATATATAAAAACAAAACAAAAAATCTGAAAAAAACTGAAAAAAATAAAAATAAAATAAAAATAAAAAGTAAAAAATACACATATATACATATATATTCATATCTATATACAAATACAAATATAAACATACATACTCCTATATATATATACTTATATATTTTTTATTATGTATACATATACCTAGGAGTATTTATGTTTATATTTGTATTTGTATGTAGATATATATATATATATATATATATTATTTTGTATGTATGTATATATATATATATATATATATGCATATATATATATATATATACATATATATGTATTTATATATATATGTATGTGTATATATATAAATATATTTGTATGTATGTATGTATATATATTGGTATAAATGCATGTATATATGTGTATATTTTTTATTTGATATATATAGATATATATAGATATATATATATATATAGGAGTATTTATGTTTATATTTGTATTTGTATGTGGATATGTATATATATGTATATATATGTATTTTTTATTTTGTATGTATATATGTATATATATACATATATATGTACGTGTATATGTATTTATATATGTGTATGTGTATATATATAAATATATTTGTTTGTATATATATGTATATATATTTGTATAGATGTTAGTATATATATATACGTATATATATTTTATTTTGTATATATATAGATATATTTTTATATAGGAGTATATATATTTATATTTGTATTTGTATATAGATATGAATATATATATAGGAGTATATATATATTTTTTAAATAGGAGTATATAGATTTTTATATAAGAGCATATATATATTTTTTAAATTTTTTCAAAATTTTTCAGGTTTTTCGGATTTTTTTTTAAAAAAAATCCGACGTGGCATGGTGATATGGCAAAATTTTCTATGTGGCATACCATGTCAGACGCCACGTGGCGTGCCATGTCATCAGTTAACGGACATTTAACATCCAATTCGGATTGTGTAGGAAATTGCAGTTAAATTGGGTAGTTTGTGTATCAATTTGGCATATTTGATAATTTGGTGTAGTTTTTTTTTTCAAATTAAAAGTTCGTATAGGAAAAAGTTATGTAGAAAAATATCATTTTCTCTTAAATAAATAAATAAACAAATAAAAAGGAATAATAATATATTTGTGTTATGTTTCATCAAAAAATTTATTTATTTCATAAAAAAATATATTTGTGTTATTATATACATATTTGTTTAATATGATAAAAGTATTTTGCTAATGGGACCCGTCCGTGAACGAACAAAAGCGTGTCAAGTCAACTTGCATTACGGATTTTGATGTCATTGTTCATTGAACTGAACGAATATATATTATAGAAATACATATATGTATATAACAACATATTATTTAAATATGGGAAGTATATTGTTATGAAAAAAGAGAAGAATATAATTTTTTGCCACTATTTTTAAAATATAATTTAAAAAATCACCTTGTCGAAAAGAAAACAACATCATAATCCCGTCAAGAAATCTTCTCAACAAACTAATATTCCAAAGCTTTTTCTTTTTTTTCTTTTGAAAATTTTGATATTCTTCTTTGGTGAAAATGCAAGAATATTTAGAAGCATGGTTGCATATTTATTATTCATTTGAAATAATTGTAAATATCATTATAAAATATTCAAGCAAACCTGCCAAATTATTGGTCTAATTCAAATTTAATTGAAATAAAAATAAATTGTGTTAAATACAAATTCTTAATATATGTAGAAATAATCATAAAGCCTAAAAAATCATTATTATATAATTATATTCAAACTAAATTCTATCTAAAAGATTTGATATATGTATTTTTTAAATCAAATCAGTCGATTTTAAAATCAGTCACATGGAAAAACAAAATAGCTAAAAATTGGAATATATAATAAATCTTATAAAAGAAATATTTTATCAATGAAAACCTAATTCAAATGGAATTTGAATTGATATAAAAAGTGTAGTTTATTAAAATTAAAAATTCACCCCCCTAAAATAACCAAGGCGATATTGAACCAAAATTCTAAATATATATTAATATTATATTTTGAAAATGTAAATTCTCGTGAAAGATAAATTTTATAAAGAACTAAGGAATAATAAAACAAACAAAAGGGATTAGATAACAAGTCACCGGAATCCCAACAAACCTAGAAATCCATGGAGTAGAAGAGAAGCAATTACGAAGGATAAATGTATAGTTCAAAATGGAAAATAAAAAAAATTGTAATACGGTATTTCGTATTTTCATTTTATATGTTTCCTTTTGTTCGATCTTTATATACATGTAAGCTAGTTAATTTGTAACTGTCAATTATTACACATCATACTATAACCATTTCTTTCCAATACCCCAAGTCGATCACTCTTTAATTTAGATTTTTGAAAAAAAAAACATATTTCTTTTTCATTTTTGACATTTTCAAAGGCATAAAAAACTTTCCCATTATGTATTTTTTTTTTCATTTTTAGATTTGGTGGATATAAAGTACTCTTTTTGTTTTGCAATTTGCCCCTTTCATTTAATTCCGTTGTAACCATTTCCTTAGATTGCGAAAACAATTTGCCTATATAACCGGCTCTACTGCATTCTCTCTCTCTTTCTCTCTATATATATATATATATGTTTTATTTTGTGGATTAAAATGAAAAATCAAATTGATTTTGTTCCAAATGATAACTGTTTCAAACAAAGCTCCACGTTATATGAAAAGCCAAAAAATATTTAAACTTCGGTAACGAGGATTTTAGCCGTTTACGATCAAATTACTTGACTAATTAAATAAATTGCAGGACACTCGTGGAGATGCAAGAAAATAATAGGGACTTATGTGTAAATAATCATAATTAGAACAAAAAAAAATATAAAATCTCTCTCTAGACGCATTCTCTCTCTCTCCTAATAAAAAACGAAGCTTTTTTTTACTCATGGAAGTTTGCGTCTGTGTATGCAGAAAAGGCTAAAACATAGAGAGCAGACAAAAAGGAAGCCAAAACCCATCATTCCTTCTTCTTCTTCTTCATCATTGCCACCGTCAGGATCACCGCCACAACCACCGCCATTTTGCCGCCGCATGCTCTAGATTCACTTCAGACGTCTAATCTGTGGGATTCGTTTCCTTTCCGGGTGCAACTTTTAAATGGGTCTCCATTAATCGTCACATTTCTGTATCTGACATCAACTATTTGATCAATTCTCCTATAAGTTTCAGTTTCGCGAGGGGAGGCCATAAAAGGAATAAAAAGTTCTTAACTTTTCCTTTCTCTGTCTCTGTTTTTGTGGTGAATTGTAAGTTTTTGTCACTTTTTGTTGGTGGGTTTGTTTTTGTTTTCGGTAATCTGATCCAATGGCTGCGGTTACTGAGAAGCCCACTGACGATGTCCGCGATGTCTGTAACAACACCGGCGGCGGAGACAAGATCATCGGCGACGGCGGTTGCGTCGGAGATGATAAGAACTCGAACGTCGAGTCTGAAACCGAAAATGTGCCCAAACCCGAGTCCGAAATCAAACCCGAATCTGAAATCAAACCAAAATCCAAGCTTGAGATGCAGGAACTCGTTGTGGCGATGTTCAAGACACTGAATCCTTTGGCTAAGGAGTTTTTCCCTTCTTACTACAACCAGAAGAACAATCACGAGGGAAAATTCAATCAGCTTCTGCCGGCTGATGATTTCGTGATCACGAAGAAGCAATCTGGCGATGAATTTTACTCTGACACCAAGAAGGACGGCAATAACAGAAGGGTAATCATTTTCTCCCCTCTGAAACTTTTTTTTAAATCGAAAATTTTGGATATATAATATGGCTAATATTGTAATAAACTAATCTGATCACATCAGTTTGAAAAGTGGCCGATGTTTGTTGCTTATCACCTTGTTTTTAGCTGATTTGCTTGTCAGTGATTCATCATCTGTATCCATTTCCATTAGTCTTTCAGTTTTCATACGATCTTTAGTTGTTTCTTTGTATTCTTGTAATATGTTTTGGATCTAGATGATGTTAGATGTCAGCTTTGAGTGATGGCAATGAATATTTTTGGCTTGCATGTTCATCTTGTTTCTCACTGATGATCTGAGTGTTTGTATATAACAGAGGAGAAATAACTATGGCCATGGGAGAAGGAGATTACCCGGAAGAGCTCCAAAGGCTCAGAGAGAAGACAGCATCAAACGAACAGTATATGTTTCTGATATCGATCAGAGTGTAAGTTCATAACTCCTTCTAATGCTTTCAGATAGATCGAAACGTGTATTGTTGTAACCCGAAAGTTCCTACTCGTAATGTTCGAATGTAGGTCTCGGAGGAGAGCCTTGCTGAATTGTTTAGCAGCTGTGGGCAAGTAAGTGGAAATGCATGCATTACTCAGTTGTCTCTGGTGATTCATTTCATTGCTGAATCGATCTTCGTATTGAATATGAATCCGGTGATGGATTCAGAAAAAAAGTTGGACGAATTCGTTACATTGACAGTGAGAAACGTCACATATAACATGAATCTGATTATGGATTCAGAACAGATGTCCTGAACAATATGCTTTATAAGCTCATCATCGGGTTTATTTTTTTGAAGGTTGTTGATTGCCGTATCTGTGGTGACCCACATTCCGTTCTTCGCTTCGCGTTTGTTGAATTTGCCGATGAGCGTAAGTGTTAGATGCTCGATGCCTAAAGCCTTTTGTCGAATTCCAAATCAGGGTCAGAGTAGATACACTCATTTATCACTTACAGAAGATTTTGTTTCCAACAGAAGGTGCACGCTCGGCATTAAGCATTGGAGGGACGACGCTTGGGTATTACCCAGTTAGGGTCTTGCCTTCAAAAACCGCCATCCTTCCCGTGAACCCTACGTTTCTCCCGAGGGTAAGATCAAAACAAATACAATGAAATGACTGCCCCTTTGACAAGTTTCTCACAATGTTTTCGAGCCCTGAAAACATTTGTTTCTAAAATGATTTCGGGATCAAATTCAGTCCGAGGATGAAAGGGAGATGTGCACAAGAACTATTTATTGCACAAATATTGATAAGAAGGTAATGCTTTCTTATACAAAATCTTTTCCACTCTCTCTCTCTCTCTATATATATATATATGCTATCTATTCGCCGTGTAGTTTTGGCCATGAAGATGGTTCTTTTATAACCACAGGTATCTCAGGTCGATGTTAAAACCTTCTTTGAATCAACATGTGGTGAGGTAAGAACACAAACCCAGATCAGAAATCTTTCCGAGCGCTACTCTTTTCGGGACAAAATATGGTTTTTATTACGTAACCGGGATCCCTTTTTTCAAGAGCAATGACATTGTTATGCTCTCTCTTCTTTACAGGTATCTCGGCTGAGGCTTCTCGGCGACCAGTTGCATTCTACTCGCATAGCTTTTGTTGAATTTGCTATGGTAAGCTCATCAATTATCACCAAAGTACATACTTAGTATCATCCAAACCCATGTGTTTTTTTTTTCCCAGTGGCTTGAGCTTTCTGTCTGAATTGTGTTAACTTCGCCTTGCATCTTCTTTTTTCACTGTCCTAACACATAAAGGAACATTGTTCAAGTGTTTTCAGATACGTTTTTCACTGATTATATCGTAAATCTTTTCTCGCACTCGTCAATCTTGTAATGATACAAATTACCGATCAGTTCAGATGGATAGCTAGCTATTATCGAATGAGGGTGTTTAGCTTTACTTGAACTTCTTTTTGTTTTTTTGGTTTTCTGTTGTTTTTTCGCTGCTAAACTCAAGAACCGATCTGGTTTTGTCTTTGGATGAACAGGCGGAATGTGCACTTGTTGCACTCAATTGCAGCGGAATGGTCCTAGGAAATCAACCTATCAGGTCTCTTTTTTCTTCACATTATGAGAAATTACCCTTACAAAGAATAAGCACTATCATCTGAAAATTTCAGTGCATAAACATCTGAACATTTCTGAAAATATTCCGGGTTTCAGGGTAAGCCCTTCAAAGACACCTGTGAGGCCTCGTATCATTCGCCCTCCATCAACGGACTAAGAGATCGAATCTTTGATATGTATGCCCTCTTGATCAGGGTTTACTACCCGGAAGAGACTTTTCGACGAACAGGGTGATGCAGCATTTCAATCTCTTCCGTGATTTTCTCTTTGGACCTTTTTTTCCCCTCTTTTTTAGCACTTATATCTCCAGTACTGTAACTGGAAAAAACACCATGGAAAAGCTTCTGATTTTGGAATTCTCGTTACTGTTTTGGCCTCGAGAAAGTTTCTCGACTGAGACGCTGTTTATCACGGTTATCAATGGAGTTTTCGGAGCATTTGGTTCTTGATTGTCTTTACTCTTTTTATGGGTGCTGCCATTTATCTAGAGGTCTCGGATACATTCTTCAGTCAGATGGATGAGCTGCTATCTTTTCCATTTAAGTCTCTCAGGATGTGAATGTATCATCGATCTTGTCTTCTAGCAACTTGAACCTGAAAGTCATGTCTGGTCGGACAAGTGGCAACTTTTCTGCATTCTGATTCTTGGTTCTGATAATACTTACCCTTTGATTCACCTCAATGACAATTGCCCCTGTGCATGTATAAGCGTGTGCGTATATATACACACAGGTTGTACATCAAGGCAACGGGCTGAATCCTGTAATGTAAGTGAACTGATCATCAAACACTAACTTGTACAACCTCAGGTTTTGGATGAGATTTTCCCTCTTGCATACTACTTCTGTTGTCCGTATAGTTAGTTAACCTGTTCTACATTTGCATTCGAAGTTACTACTTAGTCTGTAGTTTCTGATTCTTTGTGTTGCTATTTTTGCAGATAATGTAATCCGTTTCTTTTGAAACCCGAACAATGAAACCGGTGAATCTCTTTCCAGGTTGGGGAATAACGAACTGTTGTTAATCTCACTGGTATTCTCGGTCATGCCTCGCAACTCTGTTTCTTGTCCGAGCCATACCTGTCACTCCTTTTCAGGTCATACCTCACAATCACAAAGCACTCTGATTGTTCCTCTCAGTGAAACAGGTAAGACTGATTTTAAAGTCTGAAAGTTACTTCAGAAAACGGGCTTCATTCATTTTACACCGAAACAAGTACTCACATCTATCAGTAACCTAACTGTCCTAGGTTGTTACAGAGAAATTACAATCTTAAATTCAAACTTTAACCAGAATAAACTGAAAATAACCCACCAGAAACTGTCTTTAACTGCAACTTGTCTGACACCAAACTGCAACTGATGTTATCTTCTCGGAAACTTGAGCCATACATGCCAACAACTCTCACAATATTTTCTCAGTTTGGTTTCTGCATTTGTGGTTTCTGTTTTTGACACTTGAACAATACGATCCATGCATAAACACACAAAAACCCACCTGTCTCTTTCAAGGCTTCTTGATGTATTGATGCTACATGGATTCTGGTTTTTCCTCGATAACTTCACACATCAGAATAGGACTAACCTGTTTCAGTATCACCCTTCTTTTGGAGATTCAGAATTCGTTGGTTCAAGTTCTCTGAGACGAGTTTCGATGATCTGTTCTTGCTGGAGTAGGGCAGCTCGTTGTTGTCGTAGAAAACTCAACTGAGCAATTAGAAATTCTTTAAAATCACCGGGTGGTGATGTCAGTGTTTCATCATCCATCGGATGTGATATCGGGCACTTGGAGATGTGAACTACCGAAGGAGAGATGCCCTTTGGAAGCTCCCTTTTCAGGTTGGGCAAGAGTCGATGGCGAGTCTCTTTAGGCATGGGAAAACCCCGCCTGCAATATCCGGAGAGCTCCACTCTTCCCATCTCGGCATGTTGTAAAAGCTCAGAGTCTCCAGTGATTGAAACGACACAAGGGAAAGATCGTTTTCTTTATAGAAGAACTCATGACCAACCTTCTGCAGTCTATCGAATTTCTCGATCACTAGTTGTTTGAGTGATGGCAGCTGACCCAGTGGAGGCAATGACAGGCAAAAACCGCATCCACTCAAGTAGATAGACACCATGTTCGAGAACGAAGGATCGGCCAGCCAAGATGGGAAAAAATGCACCTTGATAAGACTCGATGACGAGCGTGTTCAGGTTCGGATTGGGTTTAAGCATAGCGAGGACCTCTGTTTGGTTGCAAGCCAATGCATCAACTCTACCAGGGGCGTATGGATAAAGCTCGGCA